CAAAAACTCTTGTATTTTGTTAGGTTACTTATGGTTATGGTTAGGGCAGGGTAGGGGTTAAGGTTGTCATAGTTAGCGTTAGCATTTTTCCCATTGAAATGAATGAGCGGTCCCCATAAGGATATGTTTACCCTACGTGTGTGTGTGTGTGAGATGGTGTCCATCAAAGATTAAAAGTTCAGAAAGTACTAATTCAGACCAAGATTTTGTTTCAACCAGCCAGTTGAGTACTCTGTGAATGCGACTCTATTCAACAGGTTGATTGAAACAAAATATTTTTCTTGATTTGGACCTGAACTTTCCACCTGATGTCCCAGAGTCAAAAGTGTTGTATTTTGTTTGTTTACTTATGTTTAAGGTTAGGACTGGGAAGGGGTTAAGGTTGTCATTGTTAGGATCAGGGTTTTGCCCATAGAAATGAATGGACAGTCTCCAGTAAGACAGGAATAGAAACCTGTCGGTTTCCCCAGATGCACCGCCTTCCAGTAATTCTGACCCACACCCATGTTTTACACAGATGTACCAGTACTCTGACAACACACACAGGTTCAACCGCAAAAACTGACTTTTTAAACATAAAGTTAATCTCAGTCTTCACACATGCGTTGTTCTGGGGGTATTTGAGAATTAAACCGGCCTCTGACCTACTTGAGCACTTCAAATATATTAAAATGCAGTACTTTCTAAATAAACAGAAAAGAAGTGTCTTTGTGTATCTATGCCTTCATCTGTGGATTGTTTTTCTTATGGCACGTATTCACGTGTTCAGTGCACCCTGTCCACTGATTCACTTGAAAGCCATGGGACTCCACCCTTGCATTGTGCATTAAGCACCAGTTTGTGCACAGACCCAGCAGCTGTCAGTTCAGTGCTGAAGATGTCAACCTTGATGAATGCAGCCCTGTAGGATATTACAGGGATCCATAGCTGTTATCCATACTCATAAAGCCAATGTGATACATATTTCCATACATTGCCAACCATCTGGTACATTAAAGATTATATATATATATATATACACACACATATATATACATATACACACACACATATATATACATATACACACACACACACATATACACATACACCATCAAATAAGTATTTGATCACCCTGTGATTTCTCTTACTTAGAAATCATGGAGGGGTCTACAATTTTCAGCATAGGTGCATTTCCACTGTGAGAGACAGAATCTAAAAAGAAAAATCCGGAAATCACATTGTATGATTTTTTAACAGTTTATTTGTGAATTACTGTGTCAAATAAGTATTTGATCACTTGAGTCAAAAAATTTTAATATTTGGTACAGAAGCCTTTGTTAACAATTACAGAGGTCAAACGGTTCCTGTAGTTCTTCACCAGGTTTGCACACACTGCAGGAGGGATTTTGGCCCACTCCTCCATACAGATCTTCTCTAGATCTGTCAGGTTTCCGGGCTGTCGCTGAGCAACACAGAGTTTCAGTTCCCTCCAAAGATTTTCTATTGGATTTAGGTCTGGAGACTGGCTAGGCCACTCCAGAACCTTGATATGCTTCTTACGGAGCCACTCCTTGGTTTCCCTTGCTGTGTGCTTTGGGTGATTGTCATGTTGGAAGACCCAGCCACGACCCATCTTTAATGCTCTGACTGAGGGAAGGAGGTTTTTGCCCAATATGTCACAATACATGGCCCCGTTCATCCTCTCCTTAATACAGTGCAGTCGTCCTGTCCCCTGTGCAGAAAAACACACCCAGAGCATGATGCTTCCACCCCCATGCTTCACAGTAGGTATGGTATTATTGGGATGATACTCATCATTCTTCTTCCTCCAAACACGGCGAATGGAGTTAAGACCAAAAAGTTCTACTTTGGTCTCATCTGACCACAAGACTTTCTCCCATGACTCCTCTGGATCATCCAGATGGTCCCTGGCAAACTTCAGACGGGCCTGGACATGGGCTGACTTAAGCAGGGGAACCTTCCGTGCGATGCAAGATTTTAAACCATGATGTCTTATAGGGGTGCACCGATTGCAGTTTTCTGGCCGATCAACGATCACCGATCCTTAGACAACATTACCTGCCGATCTCGATTTTTTTTTGCCGATCTTGTTTCTTTCATAACTAAAAGACAGTTACTTCAATGTTTCCATTTTTATTGAGTAAATTGATATGAATACTCACAAAACATGAGGTAGTGTCCTCAAATATAAATGAACATATAAATGAGCATTGCTGTTTGAACTACAAAATCATATTTTTTCATCCTCTTTTTTCTCATTTTCTCATTCTCTTTTATGGTATAAAATTTCCAAACTGAGGACATGTTGCCTCGAACTCCCCCTCCTCCTTTTTCTTCTTCTTCCTCCTGCACGGCAGCACAGGTGTGACGTATTGGGCGGGCGGGAGGGAGGCAGCCTGCACTGCACCTCTCTCGGGAATGGGAGAAAAGGCTGATTTAAAAGCATATAACTAAGATCGGTGGATCTCATGGGAATATGGTCGATTTCTGATCCCCTCAAATTAACGTGATCGAGGCCGATAGATCGGTGCGCCGATCGATCGGTGCACCCCTAATGTCTTAGTGTATTACTGATAGTAGCCTTGGAAACGATGGTCCCAGCTCTCTTCACGGCATTGACCAGCTCCTCCCGTGTAGCTCTGGGCTGATTATTCACCATTCTTAGCATCATTGAAACCCCACGAGGAGAGATCTTCCGTGGGGCCCCAGTCCAAGGGACATTGACAGTCATCATTAGCCTCTTCCATTTTCTGACAATTGCTCCAACAGTTGTTCTTTTTTCACCAAGCTGCTTGGCAATTGCCCCGTAGCCCTTTCCAGATTTGTGAAGGTCTACAATTTTGTCTCTTGTGTCTTTTGACAGCTCTTTGGTTTTGCCCATGTTGCTACTTAGACTTTGGCTGATTGTGGGGTGCACAGGTGTCTTTATGACAGCTAACGACCTCAAACAGGTGCTACTAATTTAGAATCATGAGCAGAGTTTAGCTGGACTATTTAAAAGCAAAATAACAGGTCTTTGAGGGTCAGAAACTGAAACTCTGTGTTGCTCAGCGACAGCCCGGAAACCTGACAGATCTAGAGAAGATCTGTATGGAGGAGTGGGCCAAAATCCCTCCTGCAGTGTGTGCAAACCTGGTGAAGAACTACAGGAACCGTTTGACCTCTGTAATTGTTAACAAAGGCTTCTGTACCAAATATTAAAATTTTTTGACTCAAGTGATCAAATACTTATTTGACACAGTAATTCACAAATAAATTGTTAAAAAATCATACAATGTGATTTCTAGATTTTTCTTTTTAGATTCTGTCTCTCACAGTGGAAATGCACCTATGCTGAAAATTGTAGACCCCTTCATGATTTATAAGTAAGAGAACTTGCAAAATCACAGGGTGATCAAATACTTATTGACCTCACTGTGTGTGTATATATAGCAACTACTAATGCAATATGGTTTGATTGACCTGATTGACCCTTATTGTAATGCAGTGCAATTTAATGCAACACAGTGCGATGTAAAATAATATTATGCAATTCAATTTAATATGATGCAGATACAGAAACCGTTTAGAGAGGAAAAATCAATCTAAATATAAGATTATTGGTCAAAAATTGTTGGCCACATTTCTAAATAAAGGGGATTTTACTGCTGCAAAGTTGTTAGAAATCATATACAGTGGTACCTCAGTTCTCAAACTCATTAGAACTTGAATTTCCTAAAAGTCAAACCAACCAGTTTGAGAAAAAAATGACCTAGAACTCTATCTGAATCTCAGAAGTCGAACCATGAACGCCGACCTAAGATAACTTGCACGCGCGGGGGAAATGAGTCGCGCGTCACGTCTCTCAGCGGAAACAAAGGGTAGCGCTTCAGTCTCAGCCTTGCACTCGCTGTGATAGCATCGTTTGTTGGTGATAGTGCTTTTTTTTTTAATTGAAAATATTGTAGCAGGTAATATACTGTACTTTATGTAATTTTGGTAGCCATTGCTCACCAAAAAGTTACGCAATAATTGTACAAATGTTACAGTCTAAAAGTTTGCGATTTACAAATAAATTAACGAATACAGAGTAATACTAAAAATAAACAATGGACCGCATGGCGTAGTCTAGTGTTGGGGCATGGCCCGATCTGCCTAGCCAGGACAGGGGAATCAGGGACATTACTCAAGCGATCGGGAGACACGGGGTTTAATTGAGAACAGGCAGAACAGCACAATGACGTTACACTGACCGGACTGGGGAAACAAACGGAAACGCAGACTAAATACGGAGGACTAATGATAACAACCAGAAACAGCTGATTGCACAGAGATTCCACATGAGGTTAACAAGGGGGTGTGGCACACAGAAGGAGCAGATGATCGGGGCAGGACAGGGTTAGTGTTGGGGTACATTCTTTATCATTTTTGGAAGCCATTAAGAAAAAAATGCTGCTCTTGTTTTATCCTTCATTTTGTGTTTAAATGCTAAAAAAAACATTTAGGTATAATTTTTTGGGGCCGGGAACCAATTAATTGGTTTTCCATTATTTCTTATGGGGAAAATTCGACCAGAACTCGAACTTTTTAGAATTCGAACTCGAGTTCTGAATGGATTAAGTTCGAGTTCTGAGGTACCACTATATCATGAGTTGATACCAAATTGTATCTCTTTAATCAGGGCAATCGATTATAAAAGTAAACTTTTATGCAGGTGCACCAGTGTGAATTAATGAATCTTACCATCCCTAAAATAGTATAGGACTGTGCCTTTGCCCAGTAGGGGAGGCGAGGAAGTATATTCAAGGTATTGAAACTAAGAAATTAAGTACTGATATTAGAGCAGTCTAAATAAAACAAGACTCCTGATGTCAGAGGATAGGAGAAGCTTTTAAAAGTCTAGCTCCTTCTCCAGTCTGCCTGCTCACCCATATTAGGCTCTATAGATAAATATGTGAGTTTCAAAACTAGTTTTAGTACTAAGAACTATTGGTAAGTATTAGTATAATACAGACATGACCAAAGTAGCATTCACTGATGCTCCCTGACCAATTTGACCTAGTTTCATTCAGTGGTTTGGTTGACTTAAGCTGATTGGTGGGGCTTAATGATCCCGCCTACTTTGAGCTTCAGAGTGTCCTGCTCAGTTGTCCCAGCTTTTCAGCGGTCTCAGTGTGCCTCTGTGTTCTCTCCCCCCATCTGACACTCCCCAGCCGAGGTCAATGGTGTCTCGGAGGCTGGCCTGGCGAAGCGTTTGCGTGGCACACCTGAGCGTATCGAGCTGGAGAATTACCGGATATCACTGCAGCGTGAGGAGGAGCTGGAGGAGGTTCCAGAGGAGACACTGGCCGAGCACAACCTGAGCAGCCTGTTGGACAAGGCCACTGATGTCGAGGAGGGCTCCAGGTCAGTGTCCCAGGCCAGGAAGGCGTGGAGGGGGATGGCTATAGTAAGGAAGCTCCTGGCTTAGGGGCCTGGTTGGCAGGCTCTTCATTGTGGAGGGGAGGGTATGTGCAGTAATGCTCCCCAAGCTATTCAGGATGTGTTTCTGCAGGACCACTATAGCAGGGGGTGTAGGAAGGAACGTAATAATGCACACACACCTTAGCCTCTCTGTCTAAGTACTAAGAACTACTGATAAGTATTAGTATAGTACAGACATGACCATGACGTGGACCCACACACATCCACTCTGCCTCCTGTGGCCCTGTTGTCACACATACCCCGGTGCCCTCCTTCACAGCAGCTCTGAGTCAGAGATGGAGGACGAGGAGCGGCAGCAGGCAACCTCTGACCTGGGTGGAGTTCCTTGGAAGCAGGCTGTGGAGCTGCATGCCAGACTGAAGGGGGTCACTGCTCTGGCCACGGAAGGGGAGGAGCAGGGGGGGCGGCCCGTTGCCGAGGGACCTCAGGAGGACGAGGAGGAGGATGAAGAGGAGGAAGATGAAGAGGAGGATGTGGAAGAGGAGGAATCCAGCGATGGTAAGTTGTTTTTTTTTTCTCTGCCTACTGAAGGGGGCTGTTAACTAGTTAGTAAACTATTAACAGATTTGCATTAATCAAGTGTTGATTGCATGTCGGGGAGGCAGCTTGAGGCCTCCTGGAGCCCCTCCATCCTCAGTGCTTCAGTGGCTAGTCCTGCACACCTCGATGCTCCTTGGTTGTGCAGTAGAGTCCGTCTCCTCTTGCCATTGTCTGTCTTCTGACTCTCATCACCGATCTTCCATTATATGTTAACATGGTGAGGTAGAGACTGCATTGGCAGGCAGATAGATCCTGCTCCAGCCTCTTTGACAGTGACATCGTTGATTCTTCTTCTTCTTCTTCTTCTTAAGCACAGGGAAGCAGCTAGAAATTGTTGGTCCCCTAACAAAATATTAGCTTGGGGCTCCCCAAATTATATAATCTAACAATTTTATATATTCAAGGGCCCGTGTAAAGTGTCGGGCCCCCTGAATCTGCAAGGGTATTCATATCTCTCCAATGCCCCAGATCAAACTGAACCTTATAGTACCTTTCAGGAGAATCAGACACTGAGAATAATTTTCAATAATTGCTGTACTTGCTTGTATCTAAATCTAAAGGCAAATCCTACAATTGACATATGAATACACACTGGAACAATATATACATTTTGAAGATCATATTTTAATCTGGTATTTGCCAGTAGATGAAAACTACAAGATAGATTTCTCACAGCCTGGTCCAGTACCTTTCCTCTTTATTCCAGTTTACTCAGTACTAAGCCATGGGTGCAATGATGTGTTACACACATGTCTAAGAAGACACAGTCCATGCTCCCTTCAACATCCTCTCGCCATAAGTCTCCGTTTCCTGGTATTTGGTGCCTACTTTAGGGAATGCCTGGCCCCCTGCCACCGTATCTGTGCCTCATTTCTCTCCTCTGTCCCTCCATGTGTCTGCCGCTCCACCTCTGTCTCCTTTGTGTCTGGCTCATTGCGTGGGCTGTCGCTCCCCCTGGTGGCAGAGGGGGAGTACTGCCCCTGGGAGAGGGAGCTCCAGTCAGGTCTGTGGTTGGAGAGCTGGGCAGATGAAGAGGAGACTGGTGTTTTGGAAGGTAGCCCTGCCCGCGTACCCGTTTTGCGCTCACAGGACCGCGGGCCACCATTAACCACGCGTGTGGCGTGTACATATGTGCTCAGGAGTGTTCTGGTGATGACCTCAAACCCGACTCACATGAGCAGTTTATCAACATTTTAATACAATTCTGATTTAACTAATAATTAACAAAACGACTTGATGGCTAAGTGGGTGCTGGTGTCACCACTAGCTCCAGCCCCCCCGTGTGTTTGTGCGAGTAATATATGTATGTACACTCACCTAAAGGATTATTAGGAACACCTGTTCAATTTCTCATTAATGCAATTATCTAATCAACCAATCACATGGCAGTTG